CCTTTTTTCGTCAGAGCATGCCGATCCCGACAGTTCCTACATCCCGGCATGCTCGCGAAGAGCACTGTGATTTCCGATGAGCGAGCTGGTCGAAAAGTCAGCCATATCGAGCCACCACCAACTATAGCAACTGCACTTTTTGCAATGTCATTCCAACCCCCCCCTCCAAGTCGCACTTTCTTCACGCTCTCACACCGGCACATTGGAAGTAGCAGTACGGTACAGTACAGTATGGTACGAACCTCTAGACAGTATGTACTTTTCAAAGAAAGAAACCAATTTTCTTCCTTTCCCCCTGCCCTCGGGTGAGTTCAGTGAGTGGATGAACCCTCACTGGGAGAAAAAAGTGCGTGGAAGCTCTTCCGGCTTTTGCCACGCAAAGCCTAACCATCTTGTACAACAAATTTTCTCCCATCCGTGATACTTAAGCCATGTAATAGCCGTTGCCGTGCGGGTAAATTGTCGTCCTGGTTATCATCATCATCCTGCTCGTGCTGCTGCTTGCCCCCCATAAGTGCAGTTGGGGGTTTAGGATAGAAGTGTCTTTTATTAGACAGTTGGATGCGGTAGAATGCCGGCTTCCGCCCTCCCTCCCCCTTCTCTCTGAATACTGTACCGGTACCATCGTGGGTCATTATTTTCCAACCGGAACAAGTCCGTGTACTTTGCTTTAGGGGATAATGTAGGGTACAATCGGCACCGCCGATACTGCCACTTTGGGTCCTTGTACAAGTACGGGAAGCGAATTGCCGAGTCAAATGTGTCGGGTTGAATTGGTCCGGTTTTAGACTGCATGTCCGTTGAATGGAGGGAGAGAGGAGCCGAGAGTGCGAATGGGGGAGCCAATGAAAATGAAAAAGCAAAAGAGCGGGGAGAAAAGAAAAGAAAGGAAACCCAGCAGGCTAGGCTCCAAGCCCATCATCGCTCTCAAAATGCGTGCTTCGTACTTTCTCGGGCAGGGAGGGGGGGTCAATTCTCCGTATGGATGGGGCGATAGGGGGTACGGTAGGTGCGTGGTGGTGGTGATGGTGGGCGTCATGCAACTTGTCTCGGTTAGTCGATTGTCATTGAGGAAAAGAAATCTGGCCCATTCCCCTTTGGTACTCGAGTACACCGGGGTCTGTTAGCGAGGGAGGTACGAGTATCATACTGTATCATACCGGTACGAGTACAATTGGGTCCGCACTGTAAAATGACTAGTAGGAGAGGGAAAAAAAAAGGAGGAGAGAGATAAGGGGGAAAAAGAAGGCAGGAATCCCTTTCTTGAGAATCCCATACTAGGTTTTCTTTCTTTCTTTTTTTCTCACAGTTCGAGCGCACTACCATAACCCGCACTCTCTCACATCATACCATCACAGCCCACAAAACCCGTCATTTTGATCCGTCAGAGTGACCTCCCAAGTGATAATCTGACACTTTACATTTCCCGTGACAGCGCAAGGCAAGGGCAAAAGAAAAGAAAATGAGACTAGACTGAATCGGTTGAAACGTTCAGGATAAGTGAATCTTGGGAACGGCTTGTCATCGGCTACAAGCGTCTCCAGAGCCTGAACCCCCTCCAGGGGAGAAGCGGAGAGGAGAAAGAGAAGAAATCCTTCAAACCAAAAAAAAAAAAAGAAAAGAAAAAGGACCCAGGGTGAGACGACTTGAACTCATTGCAAGGGTCCACTTCAAATCATCGATTGTTTTGAACAGCCGGTTTGATGGATTGGGGGCTAGCACAGTGCCGATATCTATCATACTGTAGAGGGTGTCACTCGTGCAGTACAAGTAGAACCTTGGGTGATGGGGTGAGGTGGGAGATGCGTATTCACAGCAAGGGGGAAAAGTACCGTATCATACTGTAGGGTTACCATTGGTAAATTAACCCTGGCAGAACTCGAATTGACAAAGCTTGGCGGATCCCAGCTGTTGCACCACCGCTTCCCCAGTTATCGTACCAGCGATCAGAAACCCCACAATTAGGAAGGGAAAAGAAAAGAAAAAGAAAAAAAAGAGAGAGGGAGCTCAGTTACATCGTGAACGACCACTTCCTTGGAGATATCGTACGGTACTACGCTAGAGTAGGACCCGTGCTTTATGCGTGAACGGACGGGATCGTGATACCATGAAATTTCCATGTAGCAGATAATGTTAATGTTTCTTTTTCTTTTTCTCGTTCGCTGCGGCAGATAGCCGTAGCTCTACTCGAGTACTCGGGTACTGGTACAAGTACCGGTACCGTACTTCCTTTGTAAGCAGTCAAGCACCGTGGCTCATGGTTGCAGGAATACCTGTAGCGTACTTGTACAAGTACTCTAATGGAAAGGGTGTTTGGGATCTCAGACCAAGGCACTACTCGAGTACTTGTATGGGGGCGATGGGCGAAGCAAAGGGAGGCTAAAGAGTGAACCCCTTAAACAAAAATACGGTATTTATGACGGCACAGGGGATTTTTTTATTAGTAGACGTACAGTAGTTACTCGAGTACTCTACACTCCCTAGGGAGGCACTCTCCAAACCAAAGCAGTTAAAAAAACCCCGGTGACAAGAAGGAGAGAAGGAGAAGAAAAAAAGGAATATCTTCAAACCCTCTTTCTATTCTTCTTTGCCGGCACACCCCTGAGAAGAAGAAGAAAACATCTCCATGCTTCTTTGTATTTCTTTTCTTCACGAGCGACAAATTATGGGTAGGCACGGTATTGTTAACTTTTCTTTTCCACCCAGAGACAACTGCTCCAACCGATTGGATCCACTCCCGCCTTGCAATGCGAAGGCCTGGGGAAAAAAGAGAGAAAAAAAAGAAAGGCAGCTGGAGTGCCGTAGATACCGGTAAGTTACTCGAGCAGTGGGCACTGCACAGTACGAGCTGTACCCCACAAAATCGCGTTTCTTTCCTTTTTCCAACCGTTTTCCTTTCACCACCACTACCACCCCTCCTTCTCCATCTCCGACATTCTTGCACAGCTCCCCCTTCCTCTCTCCCCGTTATTCACTCACTGTACCCGCACTCCCAAGTTTGGATCCCCCCACCCCTAGCCCATTGGCTAAAGGGAGTCGGAGTCGGGGAGAGTATCAACTTAAAAGATCCCAGCAAAAGCCTGAATGGGCGGGGCGGAAGCTCTCATGGTGACCATCCTCTGGGGCACCGGTATCGTACAAGTAGAGTTGTAATTCAGTTGAGAGAAAAATGGGGGATACGCACAGTGTCATGTTCAGTGTCGCGGGCCAACGAGAAGATGGACGGGCGATTGGGGGGAAAAAAAAGGCGGGGGGGCAGGGTGCTCGTGGAGAACTAATAGTCTGAACCAAGCATCGAGGAAATCTCCCGTTCAAACCAAGGTGGAGCGTGGAAATCTAGACCGTGTTGGCAGCAGCAACACATCCCCATTTCGGGATGCGTTGCGCGCACAACTTGTAGCCGGAATCTTGGAAATGCTCATCGCAAAGATCAATTTGGCGGTGATGGGGGATTTTTTTAATTGTATGGCACGGCCAAGTGCAATGGCGAGCGACATGCTTTGCAGTACTAGTGCTGGTTTACAGAAAAAGCGGGAGGAAAAGGCAAAGTGTGAGGGAGGGGAGGGTAGTGGAAGCGTTCAGTCGTGTGCAGGAAGCAGGCACTGCAGGCATTCCCGAGGGTGGGGGAGGTGGAGGGGGGAGGGGAGGGGCAGCATACCGTATGCTAAGCGGTACATTAGGGAGAGGGAGGGGAGGGAGAGAGATGGAAATAGTGGTGGTGGTTTGGTGATGGTCAGTCGGCGGGCACTATTTTCACCTCAACTCAAAGTGGTGTGGGAGGGATGTATGAGAACTCGAGTACGGCATGTCTCTCTGACCCGTTTGCATCTGCGTGTGTTGGGCACACCACTTCCACTCTCACCAACGCTGCGGTACCGATATGGCGTCCACTCACTGACATTCTGACTGCTAGGGAGAAGGCTATCCAGGGCACAAACATCTCTACTCTAGTTTGCTGTGCTATCATAGCAAGGTAAAAGGGTGGCAAAGGGTAGCGGTGGGGGGATAGTAGCGAAAGGGGCCGGAGAGATATAGTTGGGCTTCTTGTTTGGAAGAAGATTGACGGAGCCGGCAGCGCTCATAGAGGGAATAAGCGTATGATAGAGTATGGTTATTTGGTCATGATTGTTCGCTCATTCCAATAGCCCTAAGGCTGTCTGGCTGATTCCAGCCTTGGGTGCATCCTGTTGCTGCTGGTTCTGCTTCAAACTCCCGCAAGCAGGAAGGTAAAGACCAAGACAGTAGCGGCAGCAAATGTCTTCAAATTCTCTAGATGATGGGCGAGTAGAGTAACTGAATGGTAAGTTAGACCAGATCAGCCATGCTGCACAGTAGACAAGACTTGTGTGTTGAATCAATCGGTCAATCAATTAATCAAAATCTCTCTCTCTCTCCCTCTCTCCCTCAATCTATTTCCTCCCTCCTGCTCCTCGCTCACTCGCTCGCTCATTCCGTTGCCTACCCCAACCTTTTCTCTCGGGTCTTATCCCTACAATTCATCAATCATCACCCATCACAAAATCATCTCTCGTCAATTCATCCTCTTTCCCCATCGGACGAAACTACTCATATTAACCTCGCTCACCCACTATCACTGTCACTCGCTACCGGTGAAGCTGCCGTCACCGCCGCTGCCGTGCCGAAGACGGGTAGCAAACTTCGACCACAGCTACAGCTACTAGCCGTCGTCCCGCTGCCCCCGGAGTCAATCATTAGCTGAATTGGCTTCGAGAGATACCGGTAGACGGAACGAAACGCCGATCCAGAATTGGTGGGTCTGGGTGTCTGGGTGTCTGGGTGGTGGTTGCTTCTCTGGAGGACCTTGTGGGGAGTGGTGGAGGGAAAAGGCAGGGTCTCCTGCTATTCATTCATTCCACTTATATAATTCACCACACCCCCCTTTGCGAGGCAAATCCGATATTTTTCTGCCGGACCCGCTTTCCCACGATATCAGGGACTCCTATCCCTCCAACAAACCTCTGGCTCAGCCCTCTTGATCCATTCATCCCATAGTTACTTTTGCTATCCCTCTCGGGTTTCTTCGTGGCCTACGGGAAAGGGTCGTTAAAGGCTGTCCATTGCGACGTCGCCGAGGACACACCAGGGAGGGTCGACGTTTACCCATTCATCCACCCATTCACCGCTAATAGTGCCCAACTAGCCACTCGCTCCTCGCTCCATCCTTTCTTTTCCCTTCCCCCTTCCCCCCACCTCGCGGTTGACTTGGTCGCTGCTCACCCCTCTGTGGACCTGCTTCCTTAGTTCCTCTTAAACCTCCAACGCTCATCTGACCTTTGGGTGGTGACGATATCATCTTGGCTACATTTCATCTTGATTTTCTTTCCTTTCTTTTTTTCCCCTCGCTTTCACTTCTCTTCTTTCCTCGTTTGCAGTGTTTTGGCGTTGATTTTGCGAGATTTATTTTTCCCTTTCTGAACTTGTCGACTTCAGTTCCCCGGTGGGTTTTTCCCGGTCGCCCTTATCGATTCGGTTACGCCTAAGATCGCCGAAGGAGCTCACCGGCCCCAGGTTCTCAGTGCTAAGCGGCGGGCCCTCCTGACCCCGTCTCCTACCTCCCTCTCCCTCCACCTTGCCACAATTCATCGAGCCAACACCGCACAAAATACCACCTTCCCGCCTTAGCCTCACCAATCTTTTGCAGCTCACGACTCGGCCCTTACGGAGACAGGTGGGCTGGTCTGACAGGGTGATTCAATCTGAAGGGAAATAAATTATACTCGTGTGTGGTCATTGAAACCGTTAAAAGGATCCGTTGAATTGTTAGGGGTGGCATTTCTGTTGGTTGGTTTGACGTCGGACCAAGCGGAAACCCCAGAGCCAAAAGACGCGCCCATCATATTTTCTCCAGTAACTTGATACCAACCCCGGGGGAGGTGCAGGAAGGCTGGGCACTACGGCCACCGGTGTTTCTCTGAATTTTAGACAGTAAATTCGGGTCTCAGCTTATGGCGGCAACTGCTCTTAATTACCCTTTTTCTGGTCGGGACCTAGCACGTCTTTCCATAAGCTCTGCTTCCACCATGTCTTCAGGGGTCTCTATGATTAGTGGAGCGAATTACAGCTCCTCGTCAGCCTCATCATCCACTTCGTCCCCGCCACAAATTTCCATTTCGTCAGCTGAGGATCAAACGTCCGAGAACGGGGCTGTTACCAAGATCGAAGACATGGGGAGCGAAGATATGTTGAAGAATGCCCCACCCCTCCCCTCGCCTACCGAAGCTGGAGAGCCATCCAAGCGGGGCAGGGGCAGGCCGCGGAAACATCCTCTTCCACCATTTGGAGCTGTGCAGAAGGTTACCAAGGGCAGGTCGAAGACGGGCTGCATCACTTGCAGAAGGAGGAAGAAGAAATGTGACGAGACGAAGCCCGAATGTCCGTTATTTGCCCCTTGGCCCCACCTCTTCGAATCCACTTCCGAAGCTCCACGTTTGAGATTATGCTCGCTGATTTGTTTGTGTAGGTAATAATTGTGTCAAGAATGCGGTTGTGTGTGAAGGGTATCCGGAGAAGACCTATTGGCAAAGTGGCCGTCAGAGAGCAGAGGGTGAATGCCGATCGACCTGGGAACTTTGGTGCCAAAAAAACCTTCTACTAACTTCGCTCATAGCAAGGAACTCCGCCCCGGCTGCCGTTTCTAGGTTTTCCGACCTACCCTGCTTGATCGATGGAATTGAAACACGAATAGACCGTGTTCTTCTCGACCACTTTGTTCGAAACGTGAGTCGTATCCTGACTCTGTTCAACGATAATACCAATCCTTTCCGGGAGATGCTTCTCCCACTAGCACTTCAGCACCGTGGCCTGATGCATTCTTTGCTTTGCCTGTCGGGATCTCACTTGTCCAACGCAGATCCAACATACAGCTTGGCTCAGCAACATCACTTTGGGAAGGCCATGGAATATCTTCTCAATGATCCTGTGTTGACAGGACAGATTGCCATTGCTGGCGACCCGACCATCGCCACGACACTGATTCTCTGCCTGAATTCCATATGTAAGGGGGAGACTGAGGGGGAATATAGACCCCACCTGGACGCTGCAAGGCACATGTTATCGCCGACCAGTTCTGCGGAGGATTGCGGTAACACCTTTAGCAATTTCCTTTACGAGTTTTTTATGTACCACGACGTGATCAATTCTGTCACATCGTTGGACAGACGACCCATTCTGCTTATGGAGAACTACACTCTTCCCGCCTTTATTATCCAGCCCGAGGCCGGTGCTTTGCTAGGCGTTCTCGACGGGCTATTCGGATACCTATCCAAGATCACACTGCTGCGAGATCAGATTAGGACACGGAAGGCAAATGGAGAACATCCGAGCGTGGACTACGAGGTTCTATCGCAGGCAGTTGCGATTGACTCTGAGATTCGTGAATGGGTGCCTGCTCAGGTACCGGAGTCACACCGCTTCATTGCCGCGCAGCTTTATCGGCAATCGACTTGGGTTTACCTCTACCGAACTATCATGCCTTCCACGCCAAACCCTAAGATTCAACGCGCGGTCGAGGAAGGGCTTCAGTACCTCCGCCATCTCCCCGAGAACTCGGGTACCCAAAGTATACTTCTGATGCCGCTGTTTATCCTGGGATGCGCTGCGTTCGATTCAAATCAACGACCCGAGATATCGAGGCGCTTTCAAGGTCTGCATGAGTATTCCGGGCTTGGCAATATCGTCACGGCGCACGACGTTGTTAAGAAGATCTGGGAATTGATGGATCAAGGGGATGAGGAAAGAAGCTGGGATTGGGAGAAGATAATCAATGAGATGGGATACGATTTTCTGGTTACCTGATTGGGGTGCCTTGTTTTTGGAGGGTATTTTTGGAGCGGGGTTCATTTTGTTTATGAAGGGTGCAAAAAAAATTCTTTTTTTATTACTTTTCTCCTTGGCCCTCAGTTTTCTTATACCTTTTGCTTTTCTTAGTTTTTTCATATTATGGCCTTTCGTATTTTCAACTCTATCCTAAGCGTCAACATACTGATGGCCAGCCTTTTATTGTTCCTAATATCTGTACATGCTGGCATTTTCTGCTGTCGATTTCATTTCCTTTTTCCTTGTTTTTTATGGCCTCGAGGAGTTTGTTATGTGTTGGAGTTTGCAAAAGAGAAAAAGCAATGTAAAGGAGGTTGATATGCTTATTGGACTGAGGTCGGATCGGCCTGAGCCCTGCAAGGTCAGCTATTTGCCACTACAGTTTGGACTTGCCATCTAAACTTCTCAGATGTCTTCGCTTCATACCATCCCTATCACCGCCCAACTTCCTTACCATTAGAGAAATGGATTTGAGGGTTAGTGGTAAACCTTGCTGGTTCATGTTACAATTGAGAATGCTTACATCCTGATTTAGTATTATTATACAGCTTGCGGGGCAATTTTCTCTTCGTTGCGTTTCCTTCTTCCCTCCTCCGGTCCATCTCATATTCGTGTTCTCTTGTGCCTTGCTCGTGTATATGGATAGTGGCAACAAAAGTAACTATTGCTTTATTTCCTTCTCTTTTATGTGAACTCATTCAGGGGTGGGGAAGGGAGCACTAATGTTTTGATATCCATTTTCCCTGAGGGTGCAGGTTATGCTACGCTTGTATTGCGGGGCGTTTTGAAAGAGTGGGTATATTTTCTTGTTTTTCCTTTATTTCCTCATATCTTTTGGTTTTTTCTCCGTTTTGTACTTAAATTCACCATACCCATTCTCTTTCTTTTCTTTTCTTTTTTTCCTTCCTGTCTCTTTTCCATGGCGTACTACTAGGTGGCTTTTTTTCTGTTTCGATGATCTTTATCTTGTATATTAGGACAACCAGTAGGGCTCCTGATAATTACATGTATATTCTGGGAAATAAGATCATTGATCCACTATTATGATTGCTGTTCTTTGCCCGAGGTTACGTGACTCCCGAGTTCGATGGCTGCTCCGACTACGGGGAGAGTAGAAAAGAGAAAGCACAATGCAGTTAATGGGTAACGATATACAGTTCAGCAGTGAATACGATTTAAACCATCCTGGCTACTCATGAACGGGGAGGCGGAGAGCAGGAAGAGACTAGGAAGAGACCAAGGAGAGGCCAAGAAAGGAGGGGGAGGGGTTTTTTTTTTTTGCTTTTGGAAAATCGCCAACTCGACTGGCCACTGCTGTTGCGTCAGATCAGGTATGATAGATGCGTGCGCATATGCGTACTCGATATAAAATGGGTTACTTGATATACAATTCATGTCTTTTTTGTTCTTTTTTTTCTTTTTTTTTCACTCAGAAAACGGGGCCTGGATCAATTTAGTGGTAGGTTTCTTTCTAGCCGAGCCCAAGGAGATACAGTACTAGCTCCGATCATTTCGTCTGATAGCCTTTTTGCACTAAAAACACATTTTTACCGCCACCCAGATAGCACCAATGCTTATGAGAGGCTACCAAAATCTCATGATACACTATTGAGTCCCCTGAATAAAATATATGACTTTACAGAACTCTTAGAAATTATAAAACCATGGGGAGAATATGGGTCAAGTGGGGGGGTATCATATGCGGTTGCAATATACCGTTTTTCCACAGAGCCCCCCATAGAAATTTATAAGTCACTTTCACACTTGGTGATACAATTGTAAGCTGTGAACTTAATTTCAACCTCTTTTTTTATTATCTGTGCTTCTATGGGCATGAGTCAGGAGTGATTTTTTAGCTGGCGTTGAGATCCCAATTATTCTCAACAAACAAGGTAGTGTTGAGGGCTGTCCCTCTGAATATGCTGACTATCCGCCAAATTTGATGGAAAAATGCCGGTCAGACGAAACGTTTTGGTTGGGTACGATACTTTGGAAAAGGCCGGTTTTCTCAGAGGGGGTTAGTTTTGAAGGAAGGTCAACTCAGGATGGGTTGAGTGAGGGATAAGCTAGATTAAGATCGGGTTTTAAGTGGCGATTGGGTATTATACTGAGTGCGTAGTCCTATTTGAAAAGTCCTTAGGTAGTGACTGGGAAAGGAACCATTAGAGCAAATCTCGAAGGTTATCATGCTTAGAAAAAATAGATCTGTAGTTGTTGGTTGCTTGTGAGGTCCATGTGAACGGGGTCAGAGCTATTCTCAGGTTGGGTTTGGAAACCTTCTAGATTGTTTTTTTATCTTTAGAACTCCTTACTGTTCCTAATATGAAAAGGTACAAGAATACATTTATTTTGGACTATGGTTTATGTTCTTGATATTACAGATTCTCAGAAATCAGAGAATACCATTGCTTTATTGAATACCAGTACTTTACAATATATTTGAAAGTTTATAGCTTATGCTTTATCCTTAAACACATTCACACCAATTATTCCTCTCCGATATTTCTAGATATCATTTTACTTAAGTTAGAATACTCCCCTAAAAAACATTCTTATATTGTTTTACAATTTTTTTTGGCTTATTGGTAATAGGATAAGGGTTGACATAATTGTAGGCCCTGTTCCCCTGCAGGGGCATAAGGACTTTACAGACACAACTGTGTAGTGCTTGTACGGGGACAGCGGGAGCTGTCGTGATGGCGGCCTCTTGCTTGCTCTCCTGGTTGGTTGGCTGGCTTGATTACTCCGGCGTGTTAGTGGCGAGTTGGAGAACGAGATTGGGTCATTCTTTGGTAGTAGGCGGCTTCGCCCAGTATAGTAATATGTCGGGGTATCATGCGTTGCGGTGAAGGTGGTTTCCCCGGGCGGCGGTCCGCGGGGGATACCGCACAGGACAGTGCCCGTAGTGCTTGTATCATGGAATGGTATCTAGACTGCCGTCTCTGCTAGTACAGTCTGTGCCATGGTGGGGAGCTGTGCCTACCGGTATTGGTAATGCCGGGGCATCCTTAAGAAGGATTATTACTGGACACCACCGACATTTGACCTTTCTTACTTGAACCCTTGCGGAATGATAGCAACTTTTTTTTTTTTTTAAATTTTTTTAAAAATGCTCCGATACTACGACTGCCTACCTACCCAGCCCCTGACCCATAGAAAATCCCAGCCATAATCCATGAACAACATCATGGCTTCCAATATCACTCCCGCTATCCTATCATACCACAACACCGCATTCCTCCACGGCGCCCCGTCACTCCGGCCCCCCATCCTGAATGCCAGTAGGGGTAAGTACATCTGCTCGCCCCCTCCCAAAACCCACCCTGGGCTCCGGGGCCCACACCCCACTTCTGCCTATATTGCCCAGCAGCCTCGTATTAAGGTCCGCTAGCGTTAATGGCATGATACTTTAACTTTTCTTTTTCCTACCTCACATCATCACTAATCCCTAGATAGCTTACTAGCATATCTAACTGGCCACACCAAGATCTTGGAAAAAACGCAAGCGGGCAGGAACTGAACTCGCTCTTGGCGGTTTTAGTGCGCTGATTCCTGAAGTTCCCTTTTACCTCTTGGCTGGCTCACTCAGGGATTTTCTGCATTGTATCTATCACTATGTTAGCTCTGTATAGTGGTTCGAGTAAAACACCCGGTTTTGGGGGGGGACGGTGTGAGTGTGTGGCAGGGTGGGTCAGGGCGGGGTGGGAAGGGTATGATAATATCATGAATAGCATAATGGTCGAGCAAGTATCATGGGCCCCGGGGGGGAGGGAATCGTGGCTCATGGAGTATCACTCGGTTTTGTTTCTTCACATTGTGGTGACGGTGTGATGGATGGGAGGGCTGGGCTATGCTAGGTCGGCCGATGTGGTGGGTGTCAAGACTCGTGTGCTGTACCGTACCCGCTAATCAATATACGGTATGGTACGCTGGACTAAGAATACTCTCCCCGCCTTCATGTTTCGTGAGTGGGCATATACCTTGAAACGGGAAGAATTTGCCTATAGATGTGGTTATATAGATGGGTGCTGGGGGAGCGCTTGTACCCCCAGAGAGTTTGGGATATTTTGGTACTAGAGTACTCGTACCGGTACTGATATGAGGTTCATGTGTCAAACTCCGCTTGACTTGTATTACTGTACCGGTACCCCTCTGAAGAGGGAAGGGGGGTTTTTTTTTCTTTCTTTCTAGGTACTGTAATCGGTACGGCCCCCTTGGGCAAGGGTTTCACTTTGGATTAACAAATGCCTGGCTGCGTGTCTTGAGTGACGTTGGGATTTCGTGATACTCAGCTCCCCACTCTTTTTCTTTTTTTTCCTTCTTTCCTTTTTTCTTTTTGCTTTTGTACAGGTATTGGTGCGATACGGGATATGATTTGGCCCCCATGTGGCCTGTTTCCAGTTCGTGGAGGCAGGGGAGGGATGTGTTCGGATCGATTAGCCTACCGTGCTCCACCGGCACTCAACTCAGGAGTAGAGTACCGTGGACCATGGCACTGCGGAAAGGTATTACCGGTAATATTAATAAAGCCGGAACCCCATATCCCCGATTGCCGGCCAGAACTCCTCCGTGATACAGCGGCATGCTTGGGAATGGCAATTGTGCAGGTGGTATAAGTAATAACGGGTTCGAGACCATATCTCCCGTCTTCCCTTGTTCATCCACATTCTCGCGTACCGTCGTGCATTGTCAATCTCGAATAACCGTTTTGAGCAGCGCGCCGCAACAAGTTTTCCCTGTAACGCGGGGTCGGGCGTCGGCCCTGAATCCTAAGGAAATTTCATGGGGAAAAAGGGAAAAGAAAGGGGGGGGTGGTGGGGGATTTTTTTCTTTTCTTTTCGTCTACAGTAGGGGTTCTCCGTGGTAGTCTCCGCCCAGTATCTCGGGATGTTATTTCCTTCATTTCAAGGGTGGTGAGATCTCTTGCCAACTTATTCATCGATTTACTCATTCCTCCTGCCCTTTCACCGTACCGGTAT